CAAGGGATTGTAGAAACCCTCTGGGAGCTCAGAAAATACAGTTTGCTCTGCAAGCTGAACAAAAGGAAGACATTCATATCATTTACTGTTTATCTTCTGAGCCTATTACAATGTCTGGCACTCAAACCCTACCCATATATGTGTGCACACACACTTATACCCCACACACTAAACACACAATACGTATAATATATAATCTTAAATACTACACCAGATACGAATGGTAAAATTAATGTTTGTCCAAAACATGTGACATATGTTGTTGCTCATCTGAAATCCACATTTAATTGCCCCTCTGTTTTCCTGGCCATAGTAGGCACTGTCCTGTCTACACTGTATGAAATCAAGCCACTACAAAGGGTGGCTGCTTGAATTCTATTTCTTTTTTTTTTTAAAGATTTATTTATTTGTTATGTATACAACTTTCTGCCTCCATTAACACCCAGAGGAGGGCGCCAGATCTCATTACAGATGGTTTGTAGCCACCATGTGGTTGCTGGGAATTGAACTCAGGACCTCTGGAAGAGCAGACAGTGCTCTCTTAACCACTGAGCCACCTCTCCAGCCCCCTTGAATTCTATTTCTTTTGACTTGGATTCGGAACTGGTTCCAATTCAGGCCAAGTTAGAAGCCACATCCACAACAGTGCCTCATTCATACACATATTCAAAACCTCTTGCTCTGCAGGTTGTGTGAAGGTAAGAGCTACATTCAAATGGTTTACGGCTTCTTTCCCGAGCCTATTACAACACCTGGGACACAGTGAACATATGATTAACTGAATAGCTAACGCTCGTGCTCTGAGAAAATGCACCACAGTTGACCTTTTAACTCCAGCCTTTGCACCTGGCCAATAAACACCTCTGTCAGCTGTGCGTGCTTGAGTGCTTACAAGTGTGCTTGTGTGCTTGTGTGTGTGTGCGTATCTGTGTGTGCGGTAGTGACAGGGGAGGCACTGAACCAGGAGCAATGACACGCTGGTCACATCCATAGTCAGCAAGCTCAGCTAGCTCACAGAGTGGTGCTGCCCACATCTGGTGCTGGCCTTCTATCTCAATTAACTCAGTTGAGAAACTTCCTCATAGACATGCCTAAAGGTTTGTCTCCTAGGAGACTATCACATAGCCAGGACTAAGATATTGATATCTAATATTCTATTTATAACTTTTTATTATTTCTTTTCAATATGAACTCTCAAAATAATGTAAAATTCAGAATGTAAAGTCATGACTATAATCCTGGAAATACAATTTATTTTCTTTGGGCTTTTGTTTTAAGTTTTTGGAGACAGGTTTTTCTCTGTGTGGCTGTCCTGAAACTCACTCTGTAGACCAGACTGGCCTCAAATTCACAGAGATCTGCCTGCCTCTGCCTCCTGAGTGCTGGGATTAAAGGTGTGCGCCACCACCAACCATTCAGCAGAATTTCTTACTATGACACGAGGGAGGCAGAATGGAGATTCCGAGAGTTTAAATATTTATCTTAAGGAACAGAGCTTATGGGAATCAAATTCATATCTGTGACTCCAAAGTCAGTTTGACTATACCATCTAATTGATTTTGGATTGATTACTTCTAAATCTAGTCTTTATGGTAATGTTTGTATCAGCAGAACACTTCTCTGATCACAATTTCATATTTAAACTCTAATTGCTACACAAGTATAAAGTTAGATTCCTTCACAAAAATAGTAGCAAATATTAATGAATATGTGCAGCACGTGGAAACACTGCTGCCCTCACACTCTGGTGTTTCGAGGGTTTATAACATAAGCGCTAGGAAAAGCAATCTGCCAGTTCCTTAAAAAGCTGAAGTGCAGCCGGGCGGTGGTGGCGCATGCCTTTAATCCCAGCACTGGGGGGGGGGGGCAGAGGCAGGCGGATCTCTGTGAGTTCGAGGCCAGCCTGGTCTACAAGAGCTAGTTCCAGGAACCAAAAAGCTACAGAGAAACCCTGTCTCGGAAAAAAAAAAAAAAAGCTGAAGTGCACAAGGCAGTGGTGGCGCACGCCTTTAGTCCCAGCACTCACAAGGCAGAGGCAGGCGGATCTCTGTGACCTCGGGGCCAGCCTGGTCTACAGAATGAGTTCCAGGACAGCCAGGGCTACATAGAGAAACCCTGTCTTGAAAAACCAAAAGAAAAAAGACTTGAAGTGTTATCATATGATCTAGCAATCTATATCTAGCATATGACTAAGAAATGAGAACTTATGCCCACACAAACCTCATGTAGGAATGTTCATAGCATGCTATTTATAATAACCAGAAAGTGAAAATAGCCCAGCTGTCCATTGGAGGTACGGAATGGAATACTATTCAAGCATTAAAAGGAGTGAGGCTTGGATTCCTTGTTAAAAAAAAAAAAAAACCAATCTAGAAAACCTTGTTCAGTGAAAGAAGGAAACAAAAGATCATATATTACATGATGATCCCATTTACAAGATGTGTCCAGACTGCCATTTTTGTTCTCTTTTGTGTGTGACCTGTCTACTGACATAATAGTCCCACAATGCTTCATTCTTGTATCTTTAAAAATCTGGAGACTGTGAACCTCGGAGGCTTTAGTCCTTGGGGAAGCTTGAAATTCCAATCGAAACAAGAGGTCATGATTGATGAGACACCGAGGGGCAGTCTAAATACTAAGAGTTGGAATCAGGCTTCAGCTGTGAGAGAAGACTAGGACCAAAGTTAGTACTTATATTAGTGTAGGAAAGTTTTTATACATTGGTGTATTTGTTATCTGTCCTATAAATAGTTAAAATTAAAAAAATCCAAAATCTAAGCATACCCAGTTTATTATAGTAAATGCATGCTACCAAAATCTAAATGCAGTTGCTTTCTTACATAAGATTAGAAACAGGATGGGCAGGTCAGATAGATGGCTCAGTGGCTAACGGTGCTTGCTGCCAAGCCTGACAATTTGAGTTAGATCCCTCCATGGTAAAAGAGAGAACAGACTCCCACAAGTTGTCCTTTGACTTGACACGTGCGCCAGTCACATGTGCTCTCACACACAGACACACAAAAACATACAATATAAAAAGTAAACAGAATATTCAGGGTGGGTATGTAAGTGAACACTCAGCCCTAAGAAGGCAGAGGGCAGGTAGATCTTTGTGAGTAAGAGACCAGCCTCACTTGATTACATAGGGAGTTCCAGGTCAATCAGGGCCACATATGAGACACTGCTGTTAAAAAAAAAAAAAAAAAAAAAGGCCCCATCTACACTCTCTGTAGTTTACTCCTGCAAATGAGTAGAGGGTGCAGAGTTATAACTAATGGCAGAGGGCTAATGCAGAAAGAAATGTCTTGTGCTTAGAAAAATCTCAGAACTGTAAAGAATTGTTTTTCTTTTCTTTCTTGAAATAGGGTTTCTCTGTGTAACCCTGGCTGGCCTTGAACTCAGAACTGCACCTGCCTTTGCTTTCCAAGTGTTGGGATTCAAGGCATACACCATCAGCAGCCAACTCAGAACCGTAAAGAATCTTAAGACAACTTAGAAAAGCGTAAGTACTTTCTTGTTTTGAAGCTGACTAAGGTCTACAGAACTTCATAAGGTACTATAGCCAATGATGGAAAGGAAAGGTAAATGTACTATTAAATAAGTCAGGAACCTTAGTAACATTTTTGTTTGGTCGGTTGGTTTTTGTTTTGTTGTTTTGAGACAGTCTCACTCTGTGGCCCTGATTAGCCTGGAATTCACTAAGATCCACCTGTCTCTGGAGTCCAAAGATCAAAGGCGTGCACCACCAAGCCTCAACCAATCCACATTCTTCTTTGCAATCTAGCTTTCCTAGCTGCTAGCAGTTCAAAGGAAGTGGGGGTTGGAGAGCAGAATAGCAAACTCAAGAACCTATGCCAGAAGCATCAGGCAATTCTACTCAACATACCATTGTTGGATCCTGCGGAGTTCAAACCTTTCACCATTAATTTCTAATACACCTTAATACGCATACGCTATGTTAACTGAGTATATGCAGTTATATTTTTGCCACAGTAAAGAAAACTAACTTGACTTTTGTTGTTTTGGGCCAGGGCCTCTTTTACGTAGCCCTGGATTGTCCTGGAACGCAATAGCTAGATTTGGCAGGCTTCCAACTCACAGAAATTCGCTTGTCTCAGCCTCCAGAGTGCTGGGATTAAAGGCGTTGGACACCACACCTGACCGGACTTGACTTCTGAGAATAAGGAATTGTATTTCTTAAAGTCTTAAAAGAAAATTTTATGTTTCCTCCAGCTAAGACTACTGTGGCTCATCACACACACACACACACACACACACACACACACACACACACACTATGGTTCTTTGCTTTTGGCTGGAATCATAACTTGGGATGGCTTTTGTTTTTAACCATACTTCAAATATAGAAAGCATGAAGCTTTATTTTTAAGATAAATCAATAACTGTCACAATCTTTACTAGAAAAGGCAGATGTGGTATAACTAGGTTTCCGTTGGTAAAGTAAAACAAAAAAGTTAGAAAATACAATACTTATATATTCAACTTGCATGATAAGAGATATTTTAAGTTATGGGAGTCCCAAGCAAAAAAATAGTAAAACGTGTCAAGGCTGTTGAATTTGCAAACCACATGGCACTGTGACATTACTAAATTAAACATAGGCTACTGTGGTTTTTAGATACTTTGGGTTAGCACAAATCTCTGGCTCAGGTCTCTACTAAAGAAATTTTAGGAAGTGGAGAAAATGGTGGCAGAGATTTCTACAAGGAGAACATTTGACGCTAAGCTACATCTGAGATTGTTTTGAGCTGTTGAGGTGGGGGGGGCGGTGAATAACATGCACGCTTCTACGCAAATGCGCTGTGTGAGAAAAGAGGTAAAAAAGGTAGACTATAACGTTTTGTAAATGGAAAACGAGTTATTAAGCAGGAATGCAAACATCAAATTTTCTAATAAAGACGATTCGGGAAAAATATATATTCGTCTCGCAACTCAATTGAACGACAGAAAAATGCAACTAAATAAACAGAAGTACTTACCCTTCCACGGGAAGATGAGATCTTACTAAGGTATATAGTACCGTGCCAAAGATTTATAGAGTACCGACTGAGAGATGGTGCAGATACATTAGCATTTACTTTAATTGTTAAGGTGACACAAGATTGTCACCGCAGCTTTTGCTGGCGGACGAGGGAACTCCGGGGGGTCTGTCGAGCCTCCCGAGACTGCAGTGGAGAGGGGCGTGCCGAGTCTTTTCGCAGCAGGAGGGACCAGGAGAACACGCAAGACCAGGCTGGTGTTTCAAGCTCGGTTCCGGAGACGCTCGGGTCCAGCCGCTGCCACTGGTGCGGAACGTCCAGGCGCTAGGACAGCGGCTCTGCACGGCGCCACAGGCTGCGGTTCTGGAGCGGAGCCCCCGGCCGGCAAGGGCCGCTAGGGGCCAGTTCCGCGTGGGTCGCTCTGGCCCTCGCTTCGTCTCGGTAGCCCCCCTCCCCTCCCGCCGCCGAGGGTGGGCGGGGGAGGACGCAGCCAGCGCGCGTGCGCGCTCCGCGCTGCAGCTAGTCTGCGTGCGTGAGTGGGAGGCGGCGGGCCTGCGACTCCGGCCTTCCCGGCTGACTGCTCCGACGCCGCAGCCCCAGTCATGAACCGGTTCGGCACCCGGTTGGTGGGAGCCACGGCGAACCCGCCGCCGCCGCCGAAAGCCCGCAGCAATGAGAACCTCGACAAAATCGACATGTCCCTGGGTGAGGGGCCGGGGCGGCCGCGTCGCGGTGGGGGAGGGGGCGGGAGTCTCGGTGGGGGAAGGGGCGGTTGGTCGCGGTTGACGGGAGGGTTTGGTCGCGCGTGGGCGGCACCGGTGGGGACCCCCGAGGTGGGGCGGGAGAGACCCCGGCGTGCCCAACCCCCGAGGGGTAGGGAGGGGCCATGGTGAGGACTGGTCGGGCCGCGCGGCCCGCAGGGACGGCGGGTGCTGTCCTTTTCCCACGCGGTACGAGCTCTCTCGGGCCACGGTTTCTCTTAGGCGTGTGCGCACCCCACCGGCCTTTTCCTTTTGAAGGGTCTTAAAAGACGGTTGGGGTTGCGACCGGCTAAAGCCAGCGGCTACAGGAAGGATTTGCCTGGCATGACCGTGCCTAGACGTGCGCCTGGCATGGGCGACTTTCAACCGGCGCCCCCGTGGGAAAGCCGTGGGGGGGGGGGCGGGGACGCGGTCCCGGAACGGGCGCTGTGAGCTTCGTTAAGCCAGGACCGTATTGCTGTGTTTGATTAGGTGTTTACTGAAGCATGTTCCCTAGCCGGGTCTCAAAGTTAGCTAGTTGGGGGCGGGGAGGCAGAGATGTACGCAGATTGCTAAAACGTCTAGTAGAACCAGGGGTCCAGCACACAAAAAGGATGCCGTTGATTACGTTAAAAAAAGCATGATGATAGTTTTTTTTATTTTTGTAAAAAAATTCAGATCCAACGCTGAAGCCTTCCATTTGGTCCCAAAGTAATTTCATTTTGTAGAATCAAGTTATGGCCACGGATAAAGTCAGTGCTGCCTGCTTTTTCTTTTCCTGGGTCTTTTCTCCCCACCACCACCCCTTTTTGACTACTGAATTCAGGTGTGACCTTTTCTGAGGATGGTATTTAGGGTAATACTGTGCCTGGAACCATTCTTTTGCTTGCTAATTCTTTTCATTCGGCTTACCTCTTCTGTTAATTTGGAAAGTTTTTGATCAGCAGTTGAGAACTCTTTCTTGGTGTCTAGGGTTGCCTCAAGTCAGAACCTTAGGTTTGAATTAGAAGATTAGGAAGGAGGCATATGTTTGGCATCCATTCTGATGACAGTGCTGATCAGTAATGAACTCCTAAGAAAGTGGGGACAGCTTTTGAGCGAAAGGCGTGAATCCGTATCACAAATGCTGGATGCTTACAGGCTGCTAGGCAGTGGGCTAAATAATACACATTTAATTTCCTGACAACCTCACAAATGTTGTGCTCTTATTGGTAGGTAATCTAGAGCCATACTATTTCGGGGAGACCCTGCTCCTGACACTTCTAACGAAGTGACTAAGGACAAATTACTTGTTTGTGCTTTTTGTCTAAAAAGGTGATGGTGGGGGCAAGAGAGATTGTCCCGTGGTTAGCAGCATATTCTGTTATTACAGTGACCCAAAGTTTGGTTCATAGCACCCACTTTTGCCAACTTGGCTCCCAACTTCCTGTAACTCAGTTCCAGGGATCCCATTCCCTCTTTTGGCATCCATAGACACTGTGCTCATATGCACAAACAATCTCATGCACACCGAATTAAAAATGAAAGTCTAGGAAAGGTGACAGTGATTACCTAGAGATAGTTGATTGTAGCTGTATTCTAATTGTTCTTAATAAAAACCCAAAGTCAGATATAGGGGTGAAAACTAAAGGATCAGAGAAAAAGAGTGGCCAACTACTAGAGTTCTCACCTCTACCAATGCTCAGGCCAAAAGGGTGATCCTTCCTCAGAATGAGTTCTCTGACTGCTCCTCAGACGGACTGCTTCAGACTGCACTGAGCAGTCCCTTACCACCTTATGTTCCTCTCTCCGCCCAGCCATATCACTCCTGTCTCCCTAGTGCTGGGATTATAGACATGGGATCCCAACTGCTGGGATCACCTTTGTGTGAGCTCTGTTTCTGTTTTAGACAGGATTGCCCAGGGTGGCCTTGAACTAAGAGAAATCCATCTGCTTCTGTCTCCTGAGTCTTGGGATTGAAGGTGTGCGCCACCATTGCCTGGCCTCAAGTGGTTTAGCTCTGTGCTCTGATATTCAGGCAAGCTTTATTTGTTAAAACACAAATATCACCACAGTTGGTTCTCTCCTGCCTTTGATTCCAGAGATTAAACTCCAAGTCATCATGCTTTTGCTCACTGAGTCATCTTGTGTTTTTAGTATGTGTATGTATGTGCAGGTACTAGGCATGTGGATGCCAGAAGTTGGCATCTGGTGTCATCTTCAGTCTCTACCTTTATGAGGCAGGGTCTCTAACTGAGCCTGAAGCACATCCATCTGCCTAACCTGACTGGCCAGCATGTATCAGGGGTCCTGTGTCTGCCTCCCTATTACAGGGATTACAGACTTGTGCACAGAGCCCAGCTTTGTATAGGAGAGCTGAGGATCTGAACTCAGGTCCTCATGCCTGTTGGGTAAGCATTTTACTGACTGAGCCACCCCTCTAGCCCCATTTGTGTGTGTTTTGTTTGATAATAAGGACATCAATTAAAGGGGGCTGGTTCTTTTCAGAGTAGAAAAAGAGTGTGGAGAGCTGATCGAGCCGTCTTTTTCTCAGGAGAGGCCATCCTCTCCTCCAGGTGCTTTGCTTTTAGTGAAAATCTTAGAGATGCTGTCTTACCAGGTCTACAAAAATTTAGAATCTGCACCTGGGTGTGATGCAACACACCTGTAATACCAGCAGAGACGTGGCGGTAGGCAGATCTCAGTTTGAGGCCAGCCTAGTCTATATAGTCTAGGCCAGTCATGAATGCATAGTGAGACACACGTCCCTGCCCCCTCCCAAAAAGTATGGTTTTCTTTCTTTTCTTTTTTCCTCCCTCTTTTCCTCCCTCCCTCCTTCCTTTTTTTTTTCTTTTTTGTGGCTCTGCTGGATTGATATGAGAACTTAGAGTATTTACCAAGTTAACTCGTAACTGACATTGACTCAGCTTCTTAATTTAAAAATTAATATTATAGCCCTTTTTTCATAGGATTGTTGTGAGAATAATTGAATGTACTATAATTGTCTCAGACACACACACACACACGTACAATTATGTGTATGTTTTGCCTAAAAATGTCTGTATACCATATGAGTGCCTGGTGCCTGTGGAAACCAGAAGAGGGTATAGGATCCCCTGGAACTTGAGTTGTAGCCGGTTACAAGCTGCTATGTGGTCACCGGGAATTAAACCTGAGTTTTCTAGAAGAGCAGCAAGTGCTCTTAACTGTTGACCCATTCTCTAGCCAAAGAAAAAACTTTTAAGTAGTTCATTGTAGTGCGTCTTTGGTGCGGGAGAATTGTCTGTATTCTGTCAATCATGTTATAAATAAACACTGATTGGCCTGGTAGGAAATATAGTCAGGAAAACCAGATAGGAAGTAGAAATGATGTAATGGGGGGCTGGAGAGATGGCTCAGAGGTTAAGAGCATTGCCTGCTCTTCCAAAGGTCCTGAGTTCAATTCCCAGCAACCACATGGTGGCTCACAACCATCTGTAATGAGGTCTGGTGCCCTCTTCTGGCCTGCAGGCATACATGCAAAACAGAATATTGTATACATAATAAATAAATAAATAAATATTAAAAAAAAAAGAAAGAAAAGAAAAAAAAAGAAATGATGTAATGGGAACAGGAGAATTCTGGGAAGGAGGTAGCTGATTCCTCCCACTTTCCTGCCCAGATCACCGAAGCAGCAGGATGTGATCTACCCCACTGAAAAAAGGTACTGAGCCACATGGCTAACATAGATCAGAAAAATGGGTTAATCAAGATGTGAGAGTTAGCCAGTGAGAGGCTAGAGCTAATGGGCCAATCAGCTTATAATTTATGGAGACCTATGTGTGATTTTCTTTGGACTAAAGAGTTGAGGGGTACTGGGCGGGACAAAAACCCCAACAACAAGCAGGCCTGGTCCCTCCATGCTATACCTCTTTTTTCTTCTCGTACCTACCCTGTGTACTCATTGGGTAGGAGAGGCCATTTTCTCTTTTCAAATCAAAACATTTTGTCTGAGGGCTTAGATAATGAAGTGTTTTTCTATTTTTAATTTTTAGTTGTGGCAACAATTGTGCTACACACCAGTAATCCAGCATCCAGCACTCTGGAGGATGAGGCAAGAGGATCATGAGTTTGAGGCTGGCCTGGGCCACAAGCAAGACCTTGTCTCAAATTAATTTCAGCTATATTTATGTCGTATATTCTCTTTGTAAAAATTACCCTGGTATGTTGGGCAATATGTATGGCACATGCCTTTAATGCCAGCACTTGGAGATAGAGGGAGATAGAGCTCTGAGTTCCAAGCCAGCCTTGTCTATGAGTTCAAAGCCAGCCAGGGATATATAGTGGGACCTTGTCTCAAAAACAACACAATTACCCTAGTAGTCAAAGCCAACACCTTCTTTGCCTTAATCCTCTGACCGGATTCATTGTTTGGGTATAATCTCAAAGCTTTGAGGTTGTAGATGTTTACTGGAAAATAAATAGTAACTATTAAGGGAAAACAATGTTTACTGTTTTCTTCTCAATGAGAATTATAAGTTCATAGATCTGATATTTATGAAACCTTTTGTTTTAAACATAGTGTTAGGATTTAGTATCTCTCAAAAGACTTCTATGTTGAAGCCTTAGTTCCCCAGCTGGTGGGGCTACTGAGAAGTGATGAAGTCATGAAGCCAATGGCTACTCTGGATTTGACTTTATAAGTTCATAACTGAGTGCGTTATTTAGGAGAGGCAGGGCTGAGATGGGGCAGGTTACTTAC